ACACTGTGTGATATGAGAGTGATATCATTTACATCCATTTACACTCGACTGTACTTGGACAGTCGGACACCTTTGATATGTTTGATTCTGAGCTGCTCGGCAGGTGACAAATGGCGTGGCACCCAGACTCTTCGAGATGACCAAGGCAGACGGAATTTTGGTGGTCCACAACAAGACAAGAGGAATTTGTGACATGACTAGACAGATGTAGTTTCATATTATAGTTTCATGGTGTTTGATGCGCAAATCCCGGAACAGGCATTGCTTTCAGAGGTTTGCAGTTTTAAGGTTGCAACGGTTGCACCGGTTGCATCCTGTTTGTCAGATCTTCTCGGATGAGAGTGCCAGTGCAAACGTCCTGGCTGGGAATCCCAGATACTGCGTGGACCCAGTGCTCGGTGAAGGAAAGACCACATATTTGACATATGGCTACCCATATCATGACATATCTTGCCCAAGGTCCAAGTGCATACGCATCCGATGGACATCTATACACAACTTCTACCATCGGTCGAGGCATCACAACGCATCATGCCGCGTGACTCTTTCTTCATGTAAATCAATGCCAACGTATGTGTATGAGTCACATGCAGTACTTGTGTGATGTTGTTGATTATGTAGTTGTTCCATGTTTTTCCTGTAGTACAGTACCTCACAAGGCGGTTGCGGACGTTTCAAAGATAGGAAACCTACAGGAAGAGTTGGGTTGTTGAGTCGCACGGGCGGCAGAGCAAGCAGCTGACGGAGCGACAGGTGGTTGGAGTGTCGGCTGTTGGAGTGCATGCAGTGCTCATCGGATGCATGACTGCTGGACCTATGGACTGGACTGACCGGGTGCTCCAATGCATGCAGCCTTCACCGGATGCAGAGCTACTGGCTTCACACAGCATGGCTAACAGGGCGATCTGCCCTGCTATTGGTCTCCCTGTACCTACCTACCTATCTACCTATCTATCTATCTATCCATCCATCCATCTATCTATCTATCTATCTATCTATCTATCTATCTATCCAGTCAACCTACCGTCTCGCTCTCTGATGTTTTCACATCTTTTGGTATCCAAATTTCTACTGTGGAAACACCCTTCTGCATGCTGTCTTATTCCAAACTGCGCAAAACATTACCTTTTCACATGTCAATGCAACCTGTCTGTCTCCCATCGCATTATTCCTTTTCCCTGATGTGAAACCTTTTGCAAAATGCGCAAAGCATTACCTTTTCACAAGTAAATGCAACCTGTGTGTCTCCGGTCCAGTTTTATTATATACTCTACGCATACCAAAATGCGGAACATATTGTCTTTTCAAAAGTAAGAGTTACATGCGTCTCTCGTCCAATTTTTTCTTATTCCCTAATTCGTAACTTATTCCAAAATGCAGCAGATGTTGTCTTCTTACAGGTAAATGCTGCATGTGTGGCCTTTCTCGTTTTTCTCTATTCCCTACTTCACGGTGGCGTAGTGGAAAGCCCGGTGTTTTTCCAGTTCCCTGTGTCCAGGGTAGTGGAACGTCCTGTGTTTTTCCAGTTTCATTTGTCCGTCCCAGTTCCTTTCCAATTTCCTTTTGTGGATGTCCTGTGTTTTTCTAGGGTTTGTGTTGCAATCCATCTTTTCGCACAAAAGAAACACGTCACTTTGTTTCCAAAATAGAAGGGTTGCAACACAAACCCTAGAAAAACATAGGAAATCCATCCGCAAAGGAACTGGAAAAGGAATTGGAAGGGAAGTGACAAATGGAACTGGAAAAACAGAGGACGTTCCATCACCGTGGGCAAATTGAACTGGAAAAATACAGGACTTTAGCTGTTTCTGTTACGAGGGAAGGAAAAAAATTGGACGGGAGACACACAGGTTGCATAAAATGTGACAAGGTAATGTTTTGCGCATTGGGACACAGCTCGCATTTTCATTTGAAAAGCTAATGTTTGGCGTATTTTGCAATAAGTTGCACATCAAGGAGAAGAAAGCATGGGACGGGAGGCAGACAGGTTGCATTGACCGCGAAAAGGTAATGTTTTGCGCAGTTTGGAATAAGATCAGCAGCATGCAGACGGATGTTTCCACAGTAGAAATTTGGATACCAAAAGACGTGGAAACATCAGCGAGCGAGACGGTACCAACTGGGATGTGCGGCATGCCGCGCACCCCAAGTGGTACCGCTATAGATGGGTGAGATATTGCTAACACGTGCCGCGAAACATTGAGGTTTGGGGGTGCGGGGGTTCAACATAGTGTGTGCTGCAGGGTTTGAATATTTTGTCCATCTACTGTCTCGCTCTCTGATGTTTTCACATGTTTTGGTATCCAAATTTCTACTGTGGAAACACCCTTCTGCATGCTGCTGATCTTATTCCAAACTCTGCAAAACATTACCTTTTCACATGTCAGTGCAGCCTGTCTGTCTCCCATCCCATTATTCCTTTTCCCTGATGTGAAACCTTTTGCAAAATGCGCAAAGCATTACCCTGTGTCCAGGGTAGTGGAACGCCCTGTGTTTTTCCAGTTTCATTTGTCCATCCCAGTTCCCTTCCAATTCCTGTTCCAAGCCCTTTTGCGGATGCCCTGTGTTTTTCTAGGGTTTGTGTTGCAATCCATCTTTTCGCACAAGAAAAACACGTCACTTTGTTTCCAAAATAGAAGGGTTGCAACACAAACCCTAGAAAAACATAGGAAATCCATCCGCAAAGGAACTGGAAAAGGAATTGGAAGGGAAGTGACAAATGGAATTGGAAAAACACAGGACGTTCCATCACCGTGGGCAAATTGAACTGGAAAAATACAGGACTTTAGCTGTTTCTGTTACGAGGGAAGGAAAAAAATTGGACAGGAGACACACAGGTTGCATAAAATGTGACAAGGTAATGTTTTGCGCATTGGGACACAGCTCGCATTTTCATTTGAAAAGCTAATGTTTGGCGTATTTTGCAATAAGTTGCACATCAAGGAGAAGAAAGCATGGGACGGGAGGCAGACAGGTTGCATTGACCGCGAAAAGGTAATGTTTTGCGCAGCTTGGAATAAGATCAGCAGCATGCAGACAGATGTTTCCACAGTAGAAATTTGGATAGAAAAAAGACGTGGAAACATCAGAGAGCGAGACGGTACCAACTGGGATGTGCGGCATGCCGCACACCCCAATTGGTACCGCTATAGATGGGTGAGATATTCAAACCCTTTCTATCCGATACAACCCCTTTGCCCCCATAGTTCAATGTTAATGTAACCCGAGGTGCATTAGCCCCAATGGACGAAAAAATTCAACCCCCCAACATCACTTTTGCTAACACGTGCGCTGAAATATTGAGATTTGGGGGTGCGGGGGTTCAACATAGTGTGTGCTGCAGGGTTTGAATATTTTGTCCATGTACTGTATCTGTCTGTCTGTCTGTCTGTCTGTCTATCTACCTATCTGTCTACCTATCTGTTTTGTCTATATATCCAGGCAACCTATCAATCTTACTATTTATCTCTCTATATATCGCTCTATCTATATATCATATGTCTGTCTGTTTTGTCTATCTATCCAGTCAACCTATCGAACTCTCGATTTAGCTTTCTATCCATTTGTCCATCCTTCCTTTTCTATCCATCTATCTTTCCATCTATGCATCTATCTGTCTATATGTCTATCTCTCTGTCCTTTCTATCTGTTTCTCTATTCGTCTATCAAAATGAAGCACTTCCGCGACACGTCCTGCAAAAAGTTGAAGTTAAAGCCGCGAACCCGAAGCAATTCTGCAAGACTTCCAGCAAGAATGGAAGTTGAAACTGTGGAAATGCAGAAAACCTACCAGGCTTCCTACAAAAATGCAAGTTGAAGACGTTAAAACAAAGCAATTCAGGGAGACGTCCCACAAAAATGGAATGTTGGCGAGGCACCTGATGCCCCCGCAGCATTGTGGCTGCGACTTTTCCATCCCATCTGTCTCAAGTGCCGCGCCTGCCACGAAAAAGCGCGGCCGGTCATACGAAGCGCTGCGCCTGTCACGCACAATCATCTTAGCGAACCTGACGATTCGATATTTCAAAACGCAACCCCTCTCAGGTAATCAATGCCCCGGCTCCCTAGTGCATCTGCAGATCCTCTTCAAACGTCCCACTCTTGCCATCTTTTTGAAATTCAGAAAAAAAACATTTTTGGCTCACTTTTGTGAAAGTGCAAAATCCATGGTGCCTGCAATGAAAATGACGGTTCAACGTCCAAAAAGCTCAGAACGCAGCGTTTTTTTTTCTTACATTTTGACTTGGATTAGCGCTTGGCGCCACAGCCGCGGGCACTTTTTCAACAGTTCAACTGCCGAAAGCGTTCCGGGGCTGAGGTGCTTTTGACCATTTGACTTCGAAACGTGCTTGGCGCCACAACCGCATGCAGTTCTTGAGCAACGCAACTTCCAAAAGTTTTCCGAGGCTGAGATGTTTTGGGCATTTTGACTTGGAAACACACTTCGAATCACAGCAGCTTGCAATTTTTGATCGCTCATCCCGCCAGATAGCAACGCACTGCGGCTACAGCAAGCCTTCTTGTCGACCCTCCGGAACCGCAAAACATCGGAGAAACACAATGCGCTGCGACTTTTCTACCTTTTCGCCCACGCTATTTTTTTTCTACTTACTCGCTCTCTGACTCTTCCCAAGACTGTTGCTGCATCTTTCCGTAAGTCGGAAGTTTGACCTCCAAAATTTCTGCCGATTATGTTATATTTTGCACGTTTCTTCTAAGCCCTACACATAGTTTACACCTCGCGGAAAACACACTGAAGGCTTGGCAGTTGGCCCTGCTGGCCCCTAACCAAGGAAGTCCTGCTCCGTGGAGAGTTGATGAAGCCCAACAGCCAGTGGCACGGGAAACCCAGTGTCACATCCATGTCTCATTCTCGTGTGCTCCCCTTGGGGGTAGAAAGCGTCAATATTTCTCAGATGTTTCACTGCTGTCTGGCTGATTGATCCCAGTCTCATGTTGTCTTCTGTTGGTCCGTGTAACTTTGCTGAATCAGTGCACAACACGTCACATTGCTCAAGAACTGCATTTAGTTGTGCATGCACGGATGTTTCCTGCCCTGCCATGGCCATGAAGAAGGTGCCTTTGAAACAGGCGAATGAGAAGAATCAGGAGAGTGAGGATAGTGATTTGAATGACAAGAATGAGAAGAATGGAAAGAAGGTAGACAGGCAGGATTCTGGTGACAGCTCAAGCGACTCGATCACCACAGCATGGGTGCGAAAGATCAATGCTTCCATCGGAGAGGAGACAGAGAACAGCTCGATGGAGACCATGGAGACCATGGGGACCATGGCGATGTATTGGTTGTATGAGCCAATGCCGGGAAATCGAGTCTATAGAGTTGATGGAGTCAACATGGTCGATGTAGAGACCATGGGACAACCGGTAGGGCTGGAAGCCGTAGAACTGGTACCTGATGTAGGGCTGGAAGTTGCGCTGGAAGTTAATGGAGATATTGGAAATGACGCAGCTGGACCGGCTGTGGGACTCACGGCTGCGCCTCCGCATCTCCCTGGTGATCGCATGTGTGAGCCATGCGTCTTCTTCTTCAGCTGTGGATGCTCCAGGGAACAAACATGTCCATACTGCCACCTGCACTATCCAGAACGACTTCATTGCCCGTGCAAGGCCAAAAGGGAGAGAATTAGGAAGAGGGTGGCTGAGAGTTTGGTACAGCTTGGTTTGCTTCAGCCAGACACTCCACTTTGATATGGGAAGCTCTGTAATCATAGCCCTTTGATGTGCTGTAGCCCAAAAACCCTCAGCATAGTGTTCCTGAGCAAAACCCGCTTCCGTTTTCAAATGATCCCATGTGTAAATACAGTCTCTTCAAACGGCGATGAAACTCAACGCCGCTCAAATGGACAGATATTTTGAGCGTCGTTGCGTGCGCCGTTGCATGATTCTTTCCGAGCGATCCGAATGACAGATGAGGTCGAGGTATCTTGAGAGAGCATCTCATTCTAAGCCCTTGCAAAGACATATCTTCGGTGTCAGTAGCTTCTACCCCGTTGAGAAGTTAAATCTCGATGGCGGTCGCTGCTCTGCAGTGAAGTTTCAAGTCGCTCAAGTTTTCTCTTTACCAATGTCAGACGATGCCCAGTTCCCGCAGGTGTCGTCGGCACGCGTTCCCCTCTTGTGTTCGGTTCAGATCCGGTGGTTGATCATCATGCTGATGTTTTGCAAAATTTGAAACATCTTGAAAGAACAAAGTTTGGTTGGACCAAGTCTCAGTTCAGAATTGGTCTATTTATTCAATCAACCGCTGTGTGTGCTGCGATCGCGCACAGTGTGTTCATAGTGCTCCAAGTCAAAGAGAAGCGGCAGCCAAATTTCAGAACTGGAAGGCAGTATGGTCCGTACAGGTCACATCTACTTCCTATGGCCCAGTAGTCGTGACGTATCTGAAAACCGTGTTTGGGCAGTTTAACCATTCGTTCTTTTGGCTTCTGCATGTCGTATTTGTGTTTCCATGCTTTGCGGCACAAAGCATCCTTTAATCATCTGTAGCCCAGGTTGTTCTACGCACGAGTGGCATATGCAGTCTATGGCGCGCAGGAGGCACGGGATGGTCAAGGAAGATGAACCGATACTGGACGCCACAGCATCAAGTTCACTGAGACTCAGAGCAACTGTTCTTTTTACTCTAGCTTTTCGACCTTCCAGGTGTGCAGACTTTGCCAAACCAGACCAGCAAGCTTTTGACCCTGTGTCTTTCTCCAACAGATCCAGGGCTCCTACGTGCCCTTCAATGTCACAGTGGGTCCTTTAGAAGCGCCCATGGCTTTGAACTCAGAGTGGAGCAGTGGAACTTCACTTTCTAGCTTCACACAGCCCAAGGCAGGATTCTATTTATGACATATCTTGACAATAATAATGTATATATGCATAGTTTGTATTCGTATATATATATATATAGTTATATATAGTTACACATAACTATTTATAGTTATATATAGTTATATATACTTAAATATAGTTATATATAGTTACATATAGTTATATATAGCTACATATAGTTATATATAGTTATATATATAGTTATATATATATATAGCTATATATTTAGTTATATATATATAGATATATAATATAGATATATATATATATAGTTATATATATAGTTATATATATAGTTATATATATAGTTATATATACATATATATATAGTTATATATACATATATATATAGTTATATATATATAGACATATATTTAGAGATATATACATATATATAGTTATATATATATAGTTATATCTTTACAGTTATTTAAATACAGTTATATATATAGTTATGTATATAGTTATATATAGTTATATATCTAGTGATATATCTAGTTTTATACCTAGTTAAATATCTATTGATAAATCTAGTTGTAGATATAATTATTTACAGTTATGTATAGTTATATTTAGTTATGTATAGTTGTGTATAGTTTTTCATAGTTATATATAGTTATATTTAGTTGTATATAGTTATATATAGTTATATATATAGTTACATATAGTAAGATATAGTTATATATAGTTATATATAGTAATATATAGTTATATATAGTTATATAGTTATATATACTTATATATAGTTATTTTTAGTTAGATATAGTTATCTATAGTTATATATAGTTATTTTTAGTTAGATATAGTTATATATATAAATGTTTATAGTTAAATATAGTTACAAATAGTTATTTATAGTTATATGTATATAGTTGCATATATAGTTTGACATATAGCTATGTATATATATATATATTTTTGTATATATAATCATAAATATAATTGTGTTTAGAAATGACATTCAAACATGCTTGGAAATATAGGGTTTCCGCAGGTATTTTGACTTCATGTCAATTTTTGAATGGTACTTGCCAATTTTTCAGCAAACATCATCAGTGACCAAGGCAGGTGAGTCAATGTTTTTTCTCTCAACCTTCCCACGGCCCCTCTTTGAAGACCAATCGGGGTTGCGGCAACTTTTGATTGCCAACTGCCGAAAACGAACTAATGCTTTCAAGACACTTTCCAAGCCGGGTTGCTTGTTTAAAGGATGAACAGCAAGAACATTTCGGTGTTCTATTTTGTCATTCACAACCTTATCCAAGCCCTGGCGCCTCCATTGTGACTTTGTCACACTCGCCAAAGTTTCCGCAGGTTACATTGACGCTATTGCTCCACCGCACCCCACCCAACGTAGCTCCAACTAGCACCCAGTTTGAACGCAAGTTACACTAACGTTATCACCCAACCCCACCCCACCCCACCCCCCAGCTAACCCTCTCCCGCGGGTTTTATATATATATATATATGTATATGTATATGTGTGTCTGTATAACTAATCCTGATGGGACACACAGAATACGGAATCGATAATTTCGGCCTCAAAAAACATCTTCCAGAATCGAAAAAAAACGTTACTTAGAATATGAAAACAACATTTGACACACATATAAAATTATGCATTGTCGATTCTGGAAAATGTCTTTCCCAGGTTCTTGAATTTTACCCTAATTCAGGGCCCCGGAACCACCAATAATAGCTGTGGAGGGGTGGCAATTGCTTTTATTTTTCATTGCCTTAAATTTGGCAACTCGTTGGGGTCATCCGTTTGTGAACTTCAACTTGCCTTCTTTCAATGTAAAGTGTAGTCAAAAGCTCTTTAATTTGGGAGGCCCAGTTCTTTTCCCCAATTCTGATCCAAAACTTATTGACGTATTGGTTTTTTGAGGGTGCCCGCTTATATTTTTTCTCTTCTTTCTATTTTTCTTGCCTTCTCTAAATTCTCCACTTGATAGAACTTGAAAATGTCCTAACTGCTGGGTTTCACACCCATTTTCGATATGGAAAAATCGTTGTTACTACGGTATTTGCTTTGGTTCTGCTTGTGCGCTCCAAAATTATATCCCGAATATGTTAAGCATTTTTTTCGAGGACACCCGAAGGGTTGTATTCTAAGTATCTGATCATATATATATATACACAAATAGTACATGTATGTATATATATATACACATACATAGATGTAGACATAGACATGTACAGCTGTACTCATGAAGATATGTATCGAGACACCGAACACATCGCCTTGTCAGGGAGGACGACTAGTTTGCTGAGGCCAAACTCATCGGCCCGTACCGTGCGAACAACGACCAGTGCTCTTTCATCCTCGATGCGTCTGGCAGCCAGGGCCTCAGACAGTGAAAGCAGTGCCGGACGACATGGCACGAGACAGATGAGATCGGTGAAACCATTGACATCCCATTGACATCCCGACATCCATGGTGTAAAAATGTACGAAATGCGCGAAAAAAGGTGCGAAATGGGGTGTCGCTTGCCTGGCTTGTCTCGCTGACCCTCTCGCTGACTCTCTCACTGTCCGTGTTTGATCAGGGCGCAGTCGCTCACCAATTGACCCAATACCATCCCTTCATCCCAGTCGCTCAGCGGCCTTCCTGTTGCTATAGTTTGCCGATCCGCTGAAACTTCAGCAATGAACTTGTCGGGTTTGAGTGGTATCGGGGTAGCAAGGCATGAAATCATATAACTAAGACATTTTAAGACCCTATTTCAAGCCGCGGAAGGGCTTGGCAAATGGAGGGTTGTAAGGAGATTTAGATAGATGTAGCGAGCGTGTTTTTTCAAGTCACGTTTTGGCCCCCCAAAAAGCCACAGTGAGGCCGAGCGCGGGAGATCATGTACTCCTTGGATACTTTGGGTCGAAGACTGGACGAGGAAAGAGATTCCTTGACATTTTTCTGCATGGTTGGTGTTGATCTGTGAAGGAATTGTCATTCCTATGCGAGGAAAACCACCAAGAATCTGAACAACTACTTCTAAACTGCAGCTGATTGCTTTCGTAACATAATTCAACAAGTCTCCACAACTTTGGTGTCTCATTCCGCCAAATACCACCAGCTCGCAGGATCGAAGACTTCAGAACGCTAGCCTTCCAGTGGGAGATCTCAGGTGGCTGGAGGTGGAGGTGACGTGGATAGCTTCGGCTTCACCTGAAGGCTGTCCACCGTCGGTCCACCGTCGGTCCACCCTTCAAGTCGTGATAGAAATGTCTTGTGTCACCATCCCAATGCTGGCAACGACTAAGGACATCAATTCGGGCTTGCAATATGGGCATGCCTGGCACGTTTTTTCGTGGCAGGAAGTGTCATGAAATGTTCTGGTGGAGCGGGACAGCAGTGTGACCTTTTTCTTCCCAGCTGGATTTGTACTGCCACCAAGAAACACAGTTCCATGGGCATTCAAACTACATTCAGATGCTGGTTTCAATGTTTCAATGTTTCAATGTGTTTCAATCAGCTTCGCATGATAGTTTCACATGATTTCACATGATTTCACATGATTTCACATGATTTCACATGATTTCACATGATTTCACATGATTTCACATGATTTCACATGATTTCACATGCCTTGAGGTGGCGTGTAAGGCAGCTGGCCGCTGGAATTGATGACCAGAAAGATCCTCCTACGGTACCTCGAAACGACTCGAAACATTCGAGCTGACTTTCGCTTTGAAGACATGGCGACACCAAGAACTCGTAAAAACTTAATAACTTAATAATAACTATTTCTTTTTTAGTTTCCAAATCTTTGCATCAAAGTGGCTTTCTAGGAAAGAATCAGACTGTGCTCCGGATATGTTTGGTTCCTTGTGCTTGAACGCTTGGGCAGCAGCGAGATGATAGATTTGCCTCTTGCAGCCTTCAGACCTGCCAATTTCCTGTTGAAGCAAAGTAAGTTTAAGCCCGAATTTCTTCTGTTGGGTTCATATGCCCAAAAGCCGACATGCAGTTGTTTCATTGAGAAACATCATAGAATTCTGCATATATGCAATATAAGACAATGAACCGATGATGAATCAATGTCAAGTAGGCAATTACCAAAGCTCCTTGAAGTCAAACCTTGGAGAACCCTCTGACAGAAATTTTGAGCTAGGCTATTTATTGTTTTGAGCTATTTTGTTGAGTTTTGAGCTGATGGAAGGTGCCCAACAAGGCGCTGGCGATCTCAGAGCTCGAGAGGATACGCACCTCACAACTCTTGGTCCCGCAGGCACGGTACATGGCCTCCAGATGGACGGCAGATGGACGACAGATGGACGACAGATGGACGGCACAGGTGATGGGGGCTACATGGGGCTACTAGACAAGACGTGACAAACATTTGCGACTCCGATGCCACAGAGCAAATACTGTGGACGGATCTCTGCGAAGGCAATTTTTGATGTGGACCGGGATCAATCAGGTACTTTTTGTTTTTTTTAATCTTGTGGTCACATCTTATTCAATCTTATTCATGTAGTAATATATAGCCAATTCTTTATTCATAATGATTTCATAATAGTCTAGTCATGATCTCTTACTTCAGCCTTCCTCAGTACTATCGTGCCTTCAGCGGATGGTTTGTATCCCCACTCGGCTGTCGGCTTCTCTCAGCTGTCGTCAGGCCCTTCTTACTGAAGGCACGCGGAGTGGTTCCCAGGTGACCTTACCATGAATTGTAATACGAATTGTTGTGGTTATGTAAGCTCAAGATAGCTCAAGGTAGCTCAAGGTCATACGTTTACAATTTTACCATCAATTATAATACAATACGACATGATACAGTGCTTGAGTTGTGGCATGGCATGGTTGTCCTAATCAGAACCTAGGTCGGCAGGAGGTTGGAAGTGTTTGCCACCAAGAAACGGTGGACGCTTTGCTGTTTCAACAGAGATTTTTGAAGTTAACCATCCAAGCATCCCATCTGACCATCCGACAATAAGTATTTTGTAAAGGCCGCAGCCCAGGAGTTTCAGGATCATCCCTCAACAGCCCGTGTCATGACGTTCCATATCATGTCACAACAAGATGAGCTTTGCAAAGTCGCTCGAATATTGTCGACGCTTCCAATGGATCTCGACATGGATCTCGATGGTTCAGTCTAGTTCGACATCGTAGCAGGCCTTTTCGTCTTTACCGTGGAGGTTTATGACGCGCTGTATCCCAGTTCGGAGCCACAGTGGGGCTTTGGTCGCGTTTTTAACCCCCAGCAGATCGTCAGAAGGCATCCATTAATGCATGAAGTGGAAGACCAAATGGAAATAAATGGAACGAACAGATACATAATTACATAGTATTACATAGTATTACAGAATATTACATATAGTATCATATAGTTGCGAATATTGACAGATTAAGCCTTCACACATAAGGAGCTGTCAGAGTCACGTGATGTCGCTCCATCCTAAGGTTTGATAGCCAATGCCAGCACCACAGTGCTCTTGGACAAGAAGGTGTGGCGTGTCCAGCCAAACGACATGGAAACACAAAGATGTGAACCAAAGATGGGGATTGACATACGAAGTAAAGGTACAGAGGCTTACAGAGGGCATCCAAAACCTTGAGAACAAGTGTTTTGCGAACGCGAAAGCCTTAAGCCTCTGTATTCATAGGCACAGTCCGACAAAGTAGCGGGATTTGCACTCACACAATGACAGCAAGCCATCTTCCCTTGGAAAGGGTGATTGGAGGCCTTATCGGCGACTAAAGGTCGATGAAGATCGATGTGTTTCTTTAAGTTTCAACTCTTGTGTCAGGACTACTTGCCAGTGTGGGAGTGCCTGGTGGGCCACAACCAGTCCTGTGTACATGGTGACAACCCCCTGAATCCAATCTTCCGACACTGTCCCAATTGAAAACACATAGAAAAAACAAGAAAAACTTGAGAAGACACAGAAGACACGGCAGTTTTTTCTAGTAATCCTTCTAGCAATCATGAACGACTAGTCGTTGAGAGATGCGGAAGATGTAGGCGGGAATCTGGAGGTCATTTCAGTTGGCAAGGCCAATTGATTGGACAAACTGCAGTTGAGACTCTCCAGACATTTGCTTTCCGTCTCTTTCCGTTTCTTTCCTTCCCTGCACAGCACTGAGGATCATAACAGAAGGCCCTTCAGGTGTTCTGGGTCCTTCTGATCCAGTTGCGGCAGCCCAGTGATGAAGATGGCAGGCATTCCCCACCAATCAGCAAAGTTGCTGGAGAAGTTGCGAAATGGCCAGTTAGATGACAGAGCCGACAGAGCAAAGTTGCTGAAGAAGTTGCGAAATGGACAGTTAGCATCACGATCTTCTTGCAGCACTATAGATTTTCTACAAGTGTTCCGAGTGTTCCAGTCAAGCACAAAGTGTGCGCTGATACCGGAGCAACAACCACAGCGCACGCCTTTTTTTTCTCGAAAAAAAGGTGAAAACTGGAACTTTCAGCCGTGGCAATGTGTATGCAATGTTTTTTGTTCGAGGTAGAGGCTACCTTCATTCAGACTTGCATCGTGCGGAGCCGAGACGCAGGATGCCGCAGCCTTCAAGTTGCTTTCTATCGATCAAACGAATCAGACAACTCGTGATCCCTGCTACGAAATCACAGGAAGACAATTTCGGACCAAAGTCTAAGTGTGACACGTCATGTGCCACAACTTTTCAGTACCATGTGGTACTGACGCGAAAAGTCAAACCGTTCAACCAATCTCAAGTTCAAATCGACAAGGTGTTCAAGTTATCATCTTGAATCCTTAGGTGCAAACAACAAAAGACGACATTGAAAGAACGCATGCGCTGGGGCAGCCCAGTGGCAGCTCTGGGCGACGGGAACGCTGAGAGCTGGGTGATTAGGTGAATGTGTGTGTGTGTACGAATGCAATATAACGCCAATAGCGCGATATCAAACATGTTTCAACTTGATGTATCGCCAACTTGATGTTAGAAACCAAAGTCATGCTGCTTTTCCCAGCTTATGAAAGACATCTCTCAGATCATCCTACAATTGAAGCTTAATTCCGTGACATGCTGAACTCAACAGAAAAGACTGGAAGTGAACGAATTAGAAGGAATCATCGAATCTAATGCCGCAGGATGCAGGTCTTGTTACAAGACTGTTAGAATGAGTCTCAGAATGAGTCTCATCACTGACTCATCATGTCTTGTTGCTGAGGGTCATTTTGATGCGTGGCATTCTGGGACAGCCTCGGAGCTTCATGAGGGCATACAAAGAGGTACCGCACAGATTGGGGGGAGATCCATTGGGATCTTAGTTCACTAGAGTACATTAGAGTACGATCTTGGAACGCAGGTGCCAAGTGTCGTGTGGATTCATCCAGCAAGGGATATTGAATATTCCGAATATTCCGAATATTCCGCATATTCCGCATATTCCCTGATCTGCTGAGAGTTCCAACCCTTAGAATTTGTGCTTTCGGCTAGGGATCAGCTGTAAATTGCGAGAGATTTTCTCGAGCTTGTTCAGAGCAAGTCCGAATCCATTCGGCCAATAGTCACAACGCGGACAATAAGAAAGGTACCAGGTACGGACAGGTGCAGACAGGTGCGGTACATCGTACCAATCCATTCGGACTCCTGTAGCTTTGCTTTGAATTTTCTGTTTTGGGACCTTCACAGCCAATTTCACCAGGGTCACAGCGACATTTTGTTTGTAAGTTGCTGTAGAACTTGCCTCAGTTGTAGCTGCACGGATCCCAGACTCCCGCTAAATATGCACATATGTATATATATATGCATATGATGTATGTATATATATATATATAAATGATGTATGATGCATATGTTATGAGATGTTCAGAGCTTGTGGAAGAACAACGCAATTGCTTAAAACAACTTTGATCAACCTTTGGAGTCTATGTAAATTTAGATTAGATATTGAAACTCTGTGCAGTTTTGTTTTCACTTCAAACCCTTCGCGTTGCCGCAGCTCACCTACACTCACAAGCTCAGGGCACGCTGGGAGGGCTGGAACTGCGGGGGGAGCAAAGAGCATGAGAGTCGCATCAGTTGATATGTTCCAACTCGCGACATTGAATAACTTTCGCACCACTATCGCCAGCTACAGGTACTGGATTGTACGTAATTGGTGTATTTGATATAGTTGTTTTCTTTGGCCATCTTTGGCAGTTCTTTCCAGCACATGATGAGCTCCTGGGGTGTTGCTTCGTGCCACTTGTGTTTCCGACAGGATATCGCTGGAGGGGTTAGCAATTCGTCACAGACTCAGAGATTGGATCGGAACAAAAACTTTGCCCGAGATTTCGAGGTGTTGAGATGCACATAAGTATTTCTCATAAGATATCATAAGATATCATAAGATCACATAAGTACTGTAAGTATTTCTCATTCCGTTTGCACCCAGGCTTTGGATCTACACCTCAGCAGATAGAGCAGACCTCCAAGCTGGCTTCATCTATTCCTACAGGAATGCAGCCCGGGCTACAAGTTCTGTCTATACTACAGGTATCTACAACAAGTTATTGACATTTATAAACTATCTCAAGTCCGGGACATTGGATTCAGGATGTCAAGCTGTTAGCTGAGTTAAACTGATCAGGCTGGCTGTGGAGTTCCTACTTAAAATGGCCATTGCACACCTTTCCTTTTCCTCTGACAAGCAGCAAAAGCAAAAGCAGCTGCTCATCTCGGGCAAAAATGCAAGCAGTGCAGTGCAGATTCTCTGAGACACGGTTTATAGAATTCTCTAAGAATTCTCTGAATCCAAGCCTAGATTGGCGATGACACGACACTGTGAGGGCCAACATGGGCCTAGCTGTTCCAAGCCTGGTGACAGGCTTTTGGCATCCTCAGTGTCGGGTCCTCAGACGACCGTAGCTTTTCTCACAGCATACGTTAGATCAATTTAGTATGGACTCCGAAGCCAGAGACATTTGGCGCTTTCAGCCTGCAGACCTAAGCCGACAAATTTTGATTCTGGATTCTGAAGCTGGATTTGCACCTGGGTAGAACTGGACGTTGTTTGCATTGTTTGCATGTATTGTTTTTGGTGATTGACGGTACATAGCAAATTGGACGTTGCCTGGGCATGTTCTCCACGCATCCATGAAGCTCAAGTGTTCAAGTGTCAAGAAATGTTGAAATTGTCAAGCTACAATTCCATAAACGTCCAGATACGTCCAGGAATTCATCCTGCCATTTCTGTACAGAAAGATCCGCCCCTGAGCCTTTTTTAGGCCGAAGGAAGCCCACTTGATGTCAAATTACAAGGCCAAAGCTCAGAGCGCCTAGCCTTGGCTCAACACGATCTCAACACGAGTATCTCACCCAAGTATCCCAAGTTGACACTAAAGCATCCTAAGTGGTGACCTAAGTATCCTAAGTATCCTAAGTATCCCATTAAAGGTCCAAAGGGTGACCATATGGGTGACCATATGGCTGGCAATGCTTGCCCAGCTTTGTAATAGTAGAGACGTTCGTCAAGGCAGCACCTAAGATTTCTCATATTTTTGTTCCTGCACAGACATGTGACATGCTGAACATTTGCAGAACAAATGCAGGAGCCCTGAGATTTTTATTTGAGCCAGGAGACACTGCTAGAATCAGGTGAGAATTCACAGGCGTGGTGCTAAACTGGATGAGGGAGGTGTTGGAAAGCAGTTTGAGTCGGTGGGTTCGTTCATGTATTTTGCTGTGGACAAATGACATGGGAATGTAAGTTTTTCTGCACAGTGATGAGGATTCTCTCACGTTCAGTTTCACAGACTTGCAAGACATGACAGCTCGACATATCTCCGACATGTCTCGACATTAAGGGCCCAATGAGAGACTTGGGAGTGGAGCCCATGGATGATCCGTCTGGGAACCAAGCAGGTAGTCAGCTGTTCCCTGCTGGCCATGTTAAGAAGCTGCATGCATTCCATGCATTCCATGCATTCCAGGGCACATGTGCGATGTACTTCCGCAACCACTACTCAAACCCCCAACTCTGTCTTCGCAACTTTGAACCAACACCCCCTGTGACGCACCATGTCGCATCATGTCACGCCGCTCCTACAGGGAGTCAATCAAAGTGATCACTGTCGACACGGAGCCCTTTGGCGTCGACTGGGGGCCCTTCGCTGGCACGTTGGACGTGTTTGGAGCCTAGGAGCCGTTTTCTTTCAAAGCCGCTGTGTTTTTCGTAACCTTATGCTACGCATCCCTGGATCATAACCATTTTTTAGACAACTTGGCATATCTTGGCCCAACTCGTGACATTTGTAGCTGCATTTGACTCGAGTCACTCGAGTGATTCGAGGCTTGATCCAGTTGGGCGCATCGGCATTGCTATGTCCGCAACAAGCTCAGTCGGGAAGAGCAGGCTGTCTGCAGAAGTTGCATAGGAAGGACAGGAGGAAACTGAGAAAGAACATGAAAGAACACTAATATATTGCTAATATACATATATATACATATACTATAATTTCTTTGGGTTCAGAGAATGTTGCAGACAGCTCAGCATGTTCAGAGAACAGTCTGTTTTCGCCCATGCTACGATGTCTACGCGTTCTGCAGCGTCTCCGCCCTTCGTCGTTTTGAAAGCCGGCGCGCTGCCAAGGATGTCTTCCGTCTTCAACAAGCGTGGGCAACAGATGCCGATGCCTTGGTCATGATCAGTCCCTTAAGATGAGGTGAGCATAGAGTGCGGATCCAAGATGAAACCAAATGAAGCAAATATCTATGAAAATTGTGTATATATATATATGTGTGTATTCATTTTGTGTTGTTTCATTTTATCATTTTGTTTCATGTCGTTTCTCACAAGTATTTAGAACAGTGATCCCCTCATCAGGGTCATCAACTGTGTCACTGGAAGCAATATGTGTGATCCCTTGTTATCTCATGCAAACATATGCAAACTCTGCCAGAAGCCGCCGCTGGAATATACCTTCTACTACGGCGAGGCTGGACACCAAAATCCAGTGAACTGCAAAGAATTCGGCTATATGAAAAGCTTAGGAAATGAATGTTATATTAGCAATTTCGTCACAATTTCATGCTTTTCTTAATACATGTTGTAGTTGGGGGAGCTAGGCGAAGGGGCTTCTGCATGATAGGCGCAGTGGTGAAAACTGAGGAATCAGCTGAATACGGCGAACCGGCAAACCTAGGACCTAGAATCAGAATTGAATACGGATCCAGGAGTTGATGACAATCTCTCGTCAGGTGCCAGAGGAGAAGCGAGAAGAGTTCATGGTATCTTGGACAAATAGTGGACTGTGTCACAGTTGCATAGTTTGTTTTGTCCCTTTGAAAGATTTTGAAAGAAGAGATTCTTGTTGCATTAGACTCCATTGACTGCGGAATGCTTTGGCACATGTCATGACAATCCTACAATATTACAATATCCAGGTGTTTCCGCAGATTGAAACTGGTGTAGCCTCCAGGCGGAGCTTCGTAACTTCGACCAAGATATCCTCACAGATCAGAGAGTGTCAGGACCTTTGTTGAGAACTATTGATACTATTGAACATCGTTAGTTGGAAGAGTTTCAATGGTCAGAGTCTTATAGAGTCTTGATGATGCTGATCCTTGTATTATCGCGGCAGAATTTATCAAATGTATGAAGAAGCTTCAAAGTGTCAACAAAGCCCATGGTGAAACTTTCGACCTGGAAAGTAAATCGAATATCAGAGCATGTCAGAGCGGTTTGGTGTAGCTTCATAGGGTCCCCTGTTTGTCGTCCACGTGCACCGTGCAGTCTAAATCCATTGCGCTTTTTCCAAAGGCCTCGGAGATGATTTAGAGATTAAATCACAGTCACTGTTCAGTTGGGCATTTGCCAAGATGGTCTTTTGACGTTCTAAGACTCTAACAGTATTCTAAGAGATTTCTAAGAGAACTCTAAGACTCTTTGACGATTTTGACGTAAATCATGGTGCGTAGGGTGAACCTCTTTGTATTGGATTCGTCCAACGGATTCTCAGGTCAGCCCTTGTGCCGCAGAATGCCATGGTTCCTCTGTCAGCATGGGCCCTAGTCACCCAGGTCATGGTCAGGGCGGAATGACCTCATGAGTTACAGTAGTTACAGTAGTTACAGTAGTTACAGTAGTTACAGTAGTTACAGTAGTTACAGTACTCTTCTCAGATGAGCCATGCACTTCGTAGGAAGTCAGTCCATTTTATCAAACTCGGTGGACTGGCTTTGCTCAGCTTCGCCATTGGAACACAATCCTTCCTTTCAGAAAGCTGTTTCCAGCTGTGCATTGGAAACAATGCTTGTTAGCTGGGTCCTAATCAAACAGCCTGGTCCCAGAGTTCCTAAAGAGTACAGTGGATCAGTACCTGCAGTCTCCATTGATATCATTAATTGCGGGATTTTGGGCGCTGCAAACATTCCCTCGACCTCGTCACAGCTGTCAAGGATTGGTCGCAATCACCAACGCTGGCGCTGCAGCGAGACTTAGGGATCTGCTGCGGACATGGACATCAATGGATCATGGATCATCATGGCATTGATTTTGCATCTAACAACTCCGTTGAACATGGTTGAGCTGAGCGCTGTAAGTGCTGTAGCTTCTGAAGCAAACGGTTGCACAACCGTTGGTACCGACATTGTCTGGCATAGACCACTTGTGTCAGGGAGATGACGCAGAGACAACTTGTCCTCTTGTTCTCAACACCTGAGATTACCTGAGGCCGCTGAAAGAAGGCATGTACGTCTTCGAAGGTGTATGATTCAAATTGTTACCATTTGCCGTGGGATCATGAGCGACACTTTTGTTGAATCTTGTTGAGATGGGTCAGACATATTTCATATTTCGATATGAGCTAGCTATGAATTGTGGATGAGTAGTTCTCGGAAGCAATGCAAAGAATGCAAAGAATGCAAAGAATGCAAAGAATGCCAAGAATGCCAAGAATGCCAAGAATGCCAAGTACTGTAAGAATCAGCTGTGTTTTCAAAGAGAATCTCCCCGTCCGGGCGCTGGGAGAGTCTACAGCATCTCTGCCGCCAGCTCTGGGTTCCTCGATCCTCGCACCATGCAGCAGTTGCATTCCTACGATGGACACCGCACACTGTGCTCGGTCGAGGACAAAGCAACAGCTGGCAGATTAGGCGGCCACTCTTGGAACATCATTAGCAACAACGAACAGGACGGGGATTTGACCTGTTTTTGCATGTTTTTGTTGTGTGATTTTCCCGCAATTTTTCACTGTTCAGTTTTTTCCCGTCATGTTGTTGACTTTGAATCTGTCGGGTGTATTTCCTTCTTTTCCAATCCGATATGTTGCGACGCGCAGATACAAGAGACCACACTAGTTTGGACACAGAGTTGAGAAATGTTGAGGGTGGAATTGCATGGAATTGGTCCTCAACATTGATGTGTTTGATCAACAGTTTGCTGCCCTGACAGGATGAGATCTACCTCCGACATGCCAGGAGTTCAGAGTTCTGCAAGGGTTCCATCGATGCGCACTTGTTATTGAAGCAAGTGAAAACTGCCTAAATTTGCCAGATCTTTAGTATATTTTAACAATTTTTAATATATAATCTATAATTGATACGATATGGTCCAATCTAATCAATCGTGTGCCTTCGAGGAATAGTTTCGGCGTATTTCAATCCTTAATTTTGCTGCCTGATATATGCTAATAAATTGCAAATATATAATACAAAATGGTGTACAAAGTGCGCCCTGAGGAGTTCTGATCACTATGTGAACAACACTTCGGGCGAGACGACCTCTGTGTGGTTCGATCGGCGTCGCCGGATCCCTCACCCACTGGGCGGCCTGGAGGGTGCCAACTGGAGCGCCAATGTGCGAGAGATTCTGAAGTGTCCAGCAACGCCGCAAAGCATCTCGAAATCATCGAAATCAGCTCGAAATGCAACACTCAGTAAGTAGACACCCGATTCTTCGTGTGAGAAGGTCTCCCGATTTTAGAAAACATTTTGAGATTTTTGAGGAATTGTAATGCTGCATCTATGGAGTTGACCAGAATTTTTGTTGTGCTTCCCTGCAGGGTCACACACAGGCTCACAAAACTAAGAAAAGCAAAGATGTATTGGATGAAATTAAGAAGTGTCATTTGTTGAGTGTCCCCCAATGTGTGTCAGGTAGTGATCATGGCAAAGCGCGAAGCCAGCAACTCTTGCAGGAACGGCAACTGCAAATTTACCTAATTTTACCTCATTTCGGGTAAAGCTGACCTCATTTCCACGCGTTTGTTGAGCTGTAGGCATTGGTTGTGCCAGTCACATACATTTGATATGACTGTATGTTCTAGCTGAGATGTTTGCATGCTGAATTTGAAAGCGGACATGTTCAGATTCAGTTTGTTTGGAAGTCATGGAAATCTCGTGGGTTCAGATTTCCTTTTATATGGTCGGATCGTTCCTTGCCACCGAGTCCACCCTGTGTTTCAACGGTTTCAACATGTTTCAACATTGAACCGGGTCCGGCGGTCCGGGTGCAGGCCACGGCTCCACGGGATTATGCTCTTTTCTCCGCTCGGCGGAGAGAGATCTTGCCTCAAACGCCAGTGCGGCCAGGCCACTTAGATCCTCGGTCTGTTTGGAGTTTGGAGTTTATGGAATTTAACAGCTCATTGACTCATTGACTCATCATTGACTCATCATATACAGAGTGTATTCACCATATTTGCGGAAGCGATCAGGAGCAAAGATCTAATTATTCGTTAGATACCAATTACATCCAATTATTGTAACATTACTGTAGATACCTGTGGAACTGTAGGCCCTCTGTAGGCCCACTGTAGGCTTCTTTCCTGTTTTTTTCTGAATCCTTTGCTCTCCATCTGGTCTCTGCACCATCTCTAGTTGGGATACTGGAGACTGCAAAGCCTTGCTGTCAGTCTATCACGGGCAAAATCAGACAGCTACAGTTAGCCTACAGTTAGCATCAGTTAGACTACTTACTTTCAGACCTCAGAGGAAGATGTATTTGCTTCTTCTTCAGCTGAAGCTGTTTGAACCGGTTGAATCAAGCCAGCTGCGACGTGCAGAGCTGACATTCCATGCCGTCATACTTGCAACTCTCAAATCCTTGGCTGCTAAGGCTGCCACTTTTAAGACAAAATCTGATGCCAACGATTTGATTGAAAACCATGATCTGAACATGGTACCCAATCCACTGCATTGGAGGATATGTATATGAATGAACGACCCCGGAAGTAAAGACGAATAGGTTGATCATCCCCTTTTTTCGGTAGTTTCGGCTTCAGCTCATGAGTGGTTGCAGATTGTGCAACTGCCCCTTTCCTGGAGTGGACGGAGTCTGCGCTTTGTGCCGGTGTGTCTCCCGGCTGGTGGGGGAGTTCAGAGCACTTCAGCCTGTACTGCGATCCTGGGGGGTCAGCCAGGCCAGGCAGTGGACCTCCCTGCTCCAAGAAGAGCAAGCTCAACAGCGGGCCAGGGACAGGCTTTGTGCTCCTGTGGGCCCTCCTACTACGGGAGGGTTACCAGTGCCTCCCCCACCTCCTCCTCGTACGGAGGGCATTGCGGTGAAGAGGGAGGCGGCGGCGAGCGCACCAAGCGCCCCAGCCGAGGTTGCTGAGGCACCTTCCTCGAGCGCCCGGGGAGCTAGAGAGGAGGCTGAGAGATCCAGATCGCGTCAAAAGCCCAAGAAAGAAAAGAAGGAGAAAGCTGAGGGAAAGAGGAGTAAAGCCCGAGATAGTAAGACAGAGAGAGGAGAAAGCCCAGGAAGAAAAGAAAGGAAAGAACGTCTGAGAAGCAAAGATAGGTCAGGAGAAGAGTCTGCACGTGGAAGCAGAGAAGCTTTCATTGACAAGAGGCCCGTCAGCAGGGCAAGGAGTCCGAGACTGGAAGATAGAGACAGGGGCAGAGGCAGACCCCGAGAACCAGAGCATCCTCCTAGAAGGTGGGAGGGTCCTATCTTGACGGTGAGGCGTCCGATCGGAGAAGCGGAGCCCAGGGCCGATCCCCAGCGTAAGAGGGCGCTCAACAACGGCAGAAAGAAGCGAGAGAGGCAGCGGGCTTGGCGAGAGGACCGAGCTCAAGGTTAATGGCATTGAGGAGGCCAGCGGCGGCAGGGCCAGCTGGTAGACGGGCTCCTAGGGTGGGAGCAGCTCTGCGTAGACCGGCGAGTCGAGGCGCAGGTGAGCAGAGTCAGAAGGGCGAAGCAGAAGAAAAGTTTGTGAACGGAGAAGAGGTGGAAGCCAATTTGGCTCCTTTGGGAAGATTGGTGCAAGGTACTCCTGTCGTCGTCGTTGGGGAGTACCGACAAGAAGGATGTCGTCTTTGCGGCACAGTGCAGGGCCTCCAAGTGCGCCACGTGGGCGATGTAGAGTTGCAACTGACAGGGGAGGGGACGGAAAGCGAGTCCCTCCTGAAGTGGATCACCGGGCACCCCACGGTGCCAGTGCGGGTCCATCTGTGCGGCTCAACTTGCCCCAACAAGGTGGACGCAGAAGGTCTAGTACACGCCACAAAAATCCGACAGAAACAGAGGAGCGACGAGGGAGGCTGGTCAGAGAACCTGCGAGAAGGAAGAGACGAGAATGCAGAGCTGAGGAGAGAAGCAATGGCATTGCAAGAGAAGGAAGCGAAGGGGAAAGAGAGGGCAGACCAGAAAAGAGACGACAAGAAAACAAAGAAAAAGAAAAAGGAGAAGAAGAAAAGATCCTCAAGCACCGGAGGATCCAGCCGAAAGAAGGTGAGATCGAGCAGAAAGAGAGTCAACTCACGAAAGGAGCTGAAGGATGTCTTCGGGTCAACTGGCCTGGACCCCAATTACAAAGTGAGGAGGAAACTGGTGAAAGCATTGAAGAAGAAGTTGAAGAGGAAGAAGGAGGAGAGCACCAGCGGCGATTCAAGCTCCATCGATGGGAGCGGGGAGAGCAGCGACCAGGGCAGCTCCGAGGGCGAGGGGATCTTCGGGGACACCCACAAAGTGCGGGTGGTGGCCCGCCGAGCTCCAGGAGTTCTAGCGGAGAGCATTATCAGGGAGATGCAGAGTCAACTCCTGACGGCAGCAGGCACAGTTTGGGACCAGGAGAAAGGGGAGGTGCCTGCGGTGGCGCTGCAATATTACCGCAACCATCTGGCCCCCCTCCTTTCAGGGGGGGCCAGCCGAGAAGCTCTGACCTTGTGCTGGAGCTTAGACCTGGCGCTTCAGGGGAAAGTTGCCAACACGGTCGACTGCTTGGCGCAGAGGCTGAAGAGTTTGCAGCTGACAGCCAATGGAGGGAGTTGGCGAGTCAGTCAGAGGGTCGAAGTGGTCCCGCCAGAACGGGGACAACTGACAAGCCGCGCAGAAACACAGGCCGCGGCCAAGGAAGACAAGGAGGAGCAGAAGACGAGAGCGTTAGCAAAAGGAAAAGAAAAGGGAAAGAGCGAGAGTTCAGGGGCAGGGGCCCCGTGGCGATACGGGCAAAAGGGCGAGACAAAAGGGCGCGACAAAGGGAAAGGCAAGAGGAGCGAAAAAGAGGAAGGAAAGAAGAGCTCCTAGATTTGGGAGCTGAGGCTGAAGACGAATATGAGGGCCCCCTCCTAGGTTTGGGAGGAGAGCCACAAAGAAGCTATGAAGAGGTGCGAGGAGCCCCCTGTGGCCTTAGTTTAAACCAGGGGAAGACTGCCCACGGCCGGGACACTGTCCTTGGACAGGACCGGGCCAGGTGCAGTACGGGAGTGCGCGAAGATCGCCCTCCTGACAGCCCTGAATGTGGACCCTGGGTGCGTGGACACGGTTCTGTGTGGAAACCGCCTATAGGTCTTATGGGGCATGGCGCCGGAGAGAGGTCAGATGGCGCAGGCGTTTTTCCACAGTTTTATGTTTCACCTAGTGGCGAAGCTCCGGACAGCCAGTTCGCTGGTAGTCCCTCGGCGTCATCCAACCGATGCTTAGGTGACTTTGCAGATAGTCACTTGGACGATGCCCCGCAGACCTTCGATCGCAGTGGTGAGAAAAAGAAGATGAAGGATCCGAGTGAAGTCAGGGAGTGTGGTCGAGTTGAGAAACTTGTTGGTTTACCCTGGGGGTCCTGTTTGCCCTTAGTTCAGTCACTGCTGATTAAATCTTCTTCAAAATTGAAAAAGAAGCACAGCGAGGCCAAGCCCACGGGTGACGTATTCCCGTTACCCACCAGCACTGACATTTTAAGGGGGCAGGAACGTCTGGCCAGGGTTGATGTGGTTATTCTGCGGTCTCTTTGCTTGGGTCTCAATAGTTACGCGGGAGTTGACTTAGAGTCAGGGGCCAGAGTAACTCCTTTGCAGCTTGAGTTCCTGGAAGGGCTGTGCGGAGATTTAGCAGAGGTTTCAACATGGGAAGAGACGTTTAGCTTGTCTACTTGGGAATCCTTTTTTAGTAGTCGCAGTGTAGACTATGTTGGTGATGAAGTGTCGGTGGCAAAAACTACTTCTTGGTCCAACCTTAGTCCAGCTATACCTGCAGAAGTAGGAGGGGTGGAGCTGTCTTCGGTATTGGAAGGGGGTTGCAGACACTACGTCACACATTTCGAGGACTACCTAGTCCCTCCTGAATCCATGGAATACACCAAGCCTCCGAGGGTCATGGTAGCTGATGACCAATGGGAGGGCGTCTGTCGAGGTCTCCTGTCATCGGGTATCTGTGGCCTTCTCCCGGAGAGCGAGTTGTTCCATGTGAAGGGGAGGCCTCTCCTAAATGGCCTCTTCGGAGTGCCCAAGGGAGACAGAGCAGGAGGGATAGAGTTGCATAGGCTAATCATGAATTTGATTCCTCTGAACAACATTTGCCGGCCAATCCAAGGAGACGTATCAACGTTGCCAGCATGGTCCTCAGCTGGGCCGTTAATGTTGATGCCCACTCAACAGTTGCTCATTGGGTCAGAAGATGTGAGGTGTTTCTTCTACATTTTTAAAGTTCCCGCTGCATGGCAAAAGTTTCTCGGTTTCAACAAGGCTGTACCGACCCATCTGCATCCGGGGCAGACCGAGCGCCATTTTTTGGTGTCTCGAGTCTTGCCCATGGGGTTCAGGAATTCAGTCAGTCTGGCACAGGCAGTCCACCGTTCCGTGGTGAGAAGAGCCAAGGGGAGGACGAGCAATCGCCTCCTGGATTGCCAAGAGCTGAGGAAGGATCGTCCTTTCCCCAACACTGATCTGATGCATCGAATATATTTGGACAACTTTGATGAGTTGGAACGCATGGACGGGAGTTTGGCAGCGCTCCTGAAAGGTTCTCCAAGCCCCTCTATTCTAGCCCTTAGAGCTGAGTATGAGGCTTGGGGTATTCCTAGGCATCCCAAAAAGGCCGTGCAACGTTCCTTGAGGGCCGAGGTACAAGGGGCTATGGTGGATGGTGACAAGGGGTGTGCATACCCCAAACCTGACAAGATCCTAAAGTATACCCAACTGGCGCTACTCATGCTAGACCAAGGGAAGTGTAGTCAAAAACAGATGCAGGTAGTGGCTGGGGGCCTCGTGTACATTGCCACTTTCCGTAGGGCCCTAATGGGTGGCCTGAATCACATCTGGGCGTTTATCGAAGAATTTAACAAATACCCACCGGTGATACGCCTGGAGATCCCCTACTTGGTGGAACTGGAGATCAGTCGGTTTATCGCACTACTGCCGTTGGCACGTATCAACTTCCGAGCGCTACCCAACCCCCAAGTGACTGCAAGTGATGCCTCCACGACTGGGGGAGGTGTCACTGTCAGCAGGGGACTGACAAATCTGGGTCGGATAGCCACCTTGTGCCCCTCGAGGGGAGACGTCCCTGAACTTGGTGAGATGACCCAAGTACTCACTATAGGTCTCTTTGACGGGATCGGGGCTCTCAGAGTGGCAGCAGATGCTGCTGGTCTGCCAATGGCTGGACATGTTAGTGTGGAGATGGATGCCTCAGCCTCCAGGGTTTTGGAATCCAAGTTTCCGGCCACTCAATTTGTCTCAAATGTGGAAAGTGTTGACTTGGACATGGTGCGACAATGGGCATGCCAATTTTCCCAGGTCGGGTTAGTGATCTTGGGTGCAGGGCCTCCTTGCCAAGGAGTCAGCGGATTAAACGCTGATCGTAGGGGAGCGCTTAAGGACTACCGTAGCAAGTTGTACGTACATGTGGCCCGAATCCGTGATCTTGTGCGGGTGGCTTTTCCTTGGGCACAAGTGCACTCCCTTGCTGAGTCAGTACAATCAATGGATGTCGAGGATCGGATGGTTATGAGTGAGTCCTTTGGAACCCAAAGCTGGGCGATTGATGCCAGCGGGGTCAGCCTGGCCAGGCGACCAAGGCTGTACTGGATCACGTGGGCGTTGCAGACAGGGGAGGGTGTGACCATCGAGATCCCTCCTGATGACAAATGGGAGTCCATGGGAAAGGTGAAGCTGGAAGGTAAGGTGGAATCTGACAAGTACCTAGTGCCAGGTTGGAGAAGGCTAGGTGAGCAACCTCTCCCCACGTTTACCACCTCACGGCCACGACAGCATCCAGGGAGAAGGCCGGCGGGGCTGGACATGTTGACGGCGGCAGAAAAAACACAGTGGGAGGAGGACAAGTTCAGGTTCCCTCCTTACCAATAACAGACCTGCCATCAGGTCGGGAGAGGGGATGTGCACCGCTTGGTCAATGCCGAAGAGCGCGAGGTGATTCTTGGCTTTCCCAGGCATTACACAGTCAACTGCCTGCCTAAGTCCAAGCAAGGTTCTACGGAGCACCAAGACCTCAGGTTGACGCTGCTGGGCAACTCCTGGAACGTCACTGTGATCACATGGCTCCTCAGTCAATTGGGAGCGTGGCTGGGAGTAAGTCCTCAGCTGATGGTCCAGCACTGCATCGAACGGACGTCGCCAGGAGCCAACACGGATTTTGCCACTTTCCTTACCAGACAGGTGATGAACGGGCCGAGGAAAGCTCTCATTCAGGGAGGTAGCGATCTCCTCGTTAAGAAACTGCTCAACTTGGTCAGTATCAAAGGAGAGGACATACTGGTGAATTCTGCTTCAGAAGAAACACTGAAGTATCACAGACTCAGAGCCAGTATTCCTGCAAATTTGTGGAAGTGGTCCACAGTGTGCGGATGGAAATGGAGAGGCCATAAGGAGCACATCAATGTGCTGGAACTAAGGGCCGTGCTATGTGCCATGCGTTATCGTACCACCAAGCAACGAGTCAGAGACCAGAGGATCATACATCTAACTGACTCACTAGTGTGTCTCCATACCCTCACTAGGGGCCGCACCAGCAGCAAGAAACTGCGAAGAACCCTAGCACGTATCAATGCCTTACTCCTCCTCACCCGAAACACGGCAGTGTGGACATATGTTCACACTGCCCTGAACCCTGCTGATGCCCCTTCAAGGGGGCGTATCAAACGGAAATGGGGAAGAAAGTAAAGCAACATGTGGAAGGGAGGAGTAAGGCAGAGCGGAAAACAATACGTGCCAACCTGGGTCCCCTTAAGGGGTTGACAGTGCAGCCCAAAACGAAAGATCGCTACAACAAAGCTGTCCAAAAGTTCCTGAGCTGGACCAACAATCATGGAGTTACACTTCCGCAACAGCGCTGCGAGATTGACCACATCCTTGCCGACTACCTTGAATACATGTGGACTGAGGGAGAGGGGAGGAGCCTAGCCGCTGACACGGTAGCGGGACTACAAGATCGAGACCCTCACTTGAAAGGACATCTCGTCATTAGTTGGCGCCTGTTAAAGACTTGGGCTTCCCATGAAATCCCCTGTCGGGCACCTCCGCTCACAGAGGAGGCGCTGCATACCCTTGTCGGTCATGCACTATTTCACAGCCGTGCGACTTTTGCTCTCTCCCTTCTCCTAGGGTTTCATGGGCTCCTTCGAACTGGGGAGCTTCTTGAACTTAAAGGCAAGGATGTCTCGCAAGCTAGCTCCACTTCTGTTGCAGTGATATCCCTGGGATTGACCAAGGGCGGACAACGAACAGGAGCCGCAGAAAGTGTGACTATCACTGAAGCCGACACGCTACGGCGCTTGTGGCAATGGAAACAGGCGGTTAGTCCAGGACCAAGTTGTGTGATGCACCACACAAATGGAGGAAGATGTTTCAAACTACGGTTGAAGCTCTGGGCTTGGAGCAGTATCAGTATAGACCTTATAGCTTAAGGCGAGGTGGAGCCACTTTTTATTTTCAGCGTCACGGCCAGCTGGATAGGCTCCTCCTTCAAGGGAGGTGGCAGTCCAGTAAAACAGCACGTCTGTATATAAATAGTGGATTAGCTATCCTGGCCGAGACTGAATTGAACTTGGCCCCTCACGCACGCATGTTTCACAAACAATTTTTACGTACAAAGTCATTACCCTTGCCTCAACTTGAGCATGCCATACATGGCAGGGCAGGGGGAAGTGGGAGAACAAACTCCACTAGACGACAAAAGAGAAAGAACAAGGAAAATTACGGAGTTTGGGGTAGGCGGGCTGGTTGTTCCCCGGTTTGGCGGGGCCCAGCACTACCCGCGTTCTTTGGCTCATGTTTACCTCGGGTAGGCGAGGAAGCATGGGGGGAACGCCTATGTTGATTTTATGAATGGCTGTTTGGTTGAATGGGAGTCTGAATTCTTCTTTGTGAGAAGAACAAGTTTGGTGATGTAATTATTTTATTTGCCTCTGTGAGGTTTTTTGACCTAACAGGTCTTGCTGTGCACAAAAAAGGCGGGAAACCGGTGAGTCTTTGAATGAACGACCCCGGAAGTAAAGACGAATAGGTTGATCATCCCCTTTTTTCGGTAGTTTCGGCTTCAGCTCCCACAGCCACCCACCCTCCTGTTTGGAGAGGGAGAACAAACTCCACTAGACGACAAAAGAGAAAGAACAAGGAAAATACGGAGTTTGGGGTAGGCGGGCTGGTTGTTCCCCGGTTTGGCGGGGCCCAGCACTACCCGCGTTCTTTGGCTCATGTTTACCTCGGGTAGGCGAGGAAGCATGGGGGGAACGCCTATGTTGATTTTATGAATGGCTGTTTGGTTGAATGGGAGTCTGAGTTCTTCTTTGTGAGAAGAACAAGTTTGGTGATGTAATTATTTTATTTGCCTCTGTGAGGTTTTTTGACCTAACAGGTCTTGCTGTGCACAAAAAAGGCGGGAAACCGGTGAGTCTTTATATATATAATTATATATATATCAGTATAATTCAGGCAATTGTCCTAAGATCTACTCTTTTGTGCTGAACTACAGAACTGGATGGTTTGTGATTTCTTAAGCTAAGTGATGCCCACTTGGAATATCTTGGAATATGTTGGAATTCCTTGGAATTCTTCTGTGTGTTGCGTTCATTCCTGCGTTGCTTTGTGGTTCAACGCTCCAAGGAACGGACGTTGGGGTCGGATCAAACAACGTTGAGAGACCTCAGCGACAGTTTGATGCCGAGAATGCCCAAGGCTTGAGACAATTGACGAGACAATTGACGTCATCAAACAACCATCAAATTATCAAATTATCAAACAGATTTCAAGAATTCTCAAGATATCAATCAAATATAGACTCAATCTCAACTTTTGATGGGGCTGAGAAGGCTCAACACAACCTGCTTCGGCAGACTTGACACACGAGTTCGCTCATGACACTTGTTTGACACTTGTTTGACACTTGTTTGACACTTGTTTGACACTTGTTTGACACTTGTTTGACACTTGTTTGACACTTGTTTGAACTCGGATTGACCCTGTGTCGCAGATCGTCGATCGGAAGAATTGGACTCCCCGCCGTGGCGAAGCGCGGGTGGAGACCTTGCCGCCAAGCGAAGTAGAGACTCAGCTGCATCGCCTGCATCGCCTGCATCGCCACAGCGCCAGTTTTGAAACGGCAAAGACTTAGGACATCATCGGACATCATCGGACATGCTGTTCAGTGCTCATGATGCTCATGATGCTCATGCTGCTCAGGACATGTTTTCCTCTATCGATCAACTGAAAACAGAATCCCATGTGGATGTGCAGCAGAGCTCCTTTGCCCATCAGCTTGAAATGTCTCAAGGTGGGAGACTGAGCTGTCGGAGCGCGGATGGGCCAGGGATGGCCAGGGTACTTTGATGTTGTGAGAGCCGCCAAAGAAGTTTCATAACATGTCTTAGGAGACCCAGGCCCACGATATCCAAGAAATGACATGGAATGACAAAAATCCGGCTCCTGTTTTTTGGGTCAGGCCCTTCGCACGATAACATCATTACGACTCCAGAAAACGATAAGAGCAAATAAGACAACCCGAGCAATATAGCCTTCGTCAAGGTGATAGATTGGCAACCCAAAACCGGATGAAATGTCCAAGTGACCCCAAAGATATCAAAACGACATCGATACATCGATACCGATGATGACTTTTGCACATTTCAATGTGATCGGCTGCGTAGTTTGCATGTCCAGTGTGCACTCTTTGGGAAGGGCAAGACAGCCCCACCTACATTGCTGTCTTGAATCTCTCCACCTGGAGCATACACCTATACTATCCTATACTCATACATAATATATATATATATAACATGGATAGATGGTCATTGTAGCTCAAAACCGCCAAAAAGCACAACAAGGGGAACACAATAAGATGATTTGGTGGGTTAGTTGAGACAATCCCTAGTCTCGAGTTGTCATTTTGGAGATGTCAAATACAGCCTTTTGCGGAATTTCTAGAAGTTGGAGCGTTTCCTTTGAGGGAAGGAAGACATCATTTTCCACAGATTATCCAGTCATCCCCTCAGGTCTGGGAAGGAGCGACAGAGGTCTGTCAGACGCTGCCGAGTCTTGCCTTCTGAGAGCTGCGAAGCTGTCACATCGGAGCTCCGAAGGCACCCCGCGACATCCGCAAGATCGGAAGAACCACTCCCGGCAGCGACGCTTGGCAAATCTCGGCTCTCTTGGTTCTCTTGGATCTCTTGGATCTCTTGGCCATGCCATGGTATGCCGTATGTCACAATATGCCAATGGTCACCTGTGATCGCCCGTGTCTTCAAATAGGTTTCCATGTACAGCGGACATCGAGACTAGTAGGGGGCGACAGCTTTCAATCTGACCTTTCGAAAAGCATCAGGAATGGGTGTGCCGCCAGCATCATGATCATCACGAGCCGCCCATCAATTTGTCAAACACTTTGTTGTGTATAGCAAGGTGATCCCAGTCAACCCAGTCAATTTGTCAATCAATTTGTACGTGTATATGGCGCATGAGATGGAGATCACATTCTAGCGATTCTAGCAACCTCGACCGAGGAATCGAGAACTTTGCTCAACGAGAAATCAGCGATTGGACTTTAGGCAGTCTCTCGGATTTGCCTTTCTTGCTGCTGCATCGAGTAGCAGCAATTAGGTGATCAACGTGAATAGAGCTACAGACTTAAGGCTGATCAAAACCCAAACTTTGGGTTTCATGTTAAAAAGCTTCTGTCTTTTTCGGTACTGCCGTAGTTAGTTCTTTGGCTTGCTGCCTACAATTCCAAAGGCTGTTCAACTCATTCTGTGGCAAATTGAGTTGTTTCTGTTTCGTTGCGTGCCAATCCTGCGACTACATTTGGTTGGGGATAAGTTTTTCTGCTGTTTCCACTTCCAGCCGAAGATGTCTGAACGCTGAGGTGACAAGCTCCTGCGAAAGGATCCTTTCTGCATGCGCCCAATGCAGCAGCCAAACAACTCCGGGGTGAAGTACGACATCATCACGGGTGAACGAGGAAAGTTCTGGTACTGACTAGTACTGAGGATGGGCAAGGCGCAAAGAGGGGCATTCTCAAAGATGATCAAAAATGTGCTTTGAAAAACTTGAAAGGATTGTGATGATTCAGAGGTCAGTGTTCACATACTGCATGATTTGACAGTCAAGACCCCACGACATCCAAAGGCATGGTTTCTCAATGTTTCTTATAGACACAATGTGCCAACGCCACGTGACACTGTGACACTGTGACACTGGAGGCCACGTACCACCAGCAGGTGGCCTCCATTTTCATGACATTTGCATTGCCGCATTGCCTCTGCAGCGATTGTAGTCATTGCAGGCATTGCAATCATTGCAGTCATTTGGCCAAAGAAGCCAGCTTTACTCAGCTTTCTCCAAGGGCTGACAAGTTGCATGTAGAAATACCACAGACCGAAACCGATCTGGAAAAACATCAGGAAGTTGTTCTGGAGAAAGACGAGGAAACCGATTGGAAACCGTTCGTCCATGTGGACACCGGAGGGTTATGATGGCCCACCATAGCTCATTTGTCTCACCGGAGCTGCAAAAAGCAGCTTCATCGCGCAATGAAAACAGAGTGTATTTCGTCTCTGAGATTCTCACCCAGACACATATCAGATGAACTCAGATCATGTCAGAATATATTAGATATTATTAGATCGTATTGCATGTCGTATTGGATAGAATGGATAAAATGTCAAGCAACCAAAATATTTGAGAAACCCAGGAACCAAAAAGATCAAAAAGCACTTCAATAGGTTGACTTGGCAGAACTAAGGGCCCCAAGCCAGTGACAGTCAGCAATGGCCAGGCCGTGCAAGAGACGCCACCGGTCTTGAGGCATCCCACCATGGGCCATGGGAGCTGTATTTGTGGAACGTTGGAAGATGATTTTTTTTTACATGATTGGATGAAGGATTGAAATGGATTGAAGGCTGTTGGACCCGGTGCAGACAAAAACCTGATATTTCTTGATCTAGACACGAATGTCGTTTGACATTTCAATAATCCTTGTAGATTTGGAGATAGAATGAGATAGAAGCGTTTAGCAGTATGAAATATATGAATGTATGAAGCACTTTGAAACAGTCCCCCTGAGAGGCCAAGAAGTATGTTGTGGCATGGTCCCATCCTGCCGGGCCTTCAGACATGCCTTTGTGGCTTTTTTGGATCATGCATTTTTTATTTGAGCAGATTTTGACATCAGCAAGCTGAGCAGCTGCTACTGAGCTACTGTATCGGATTTGGTTTGAAACACTAATCACACTGATTTCTTTTTCAAATTTCCCAAAACAAATGAGTTCGCTTCGTTTCCACGTCTCCCGTCATCTGTGAGGCCTACCAGGAAACGGTTGTCACAAGCTATGATCGGATCAGACACCTAGAGGCCTGACACAAGTCGTTGCTTCCGTACAATAACTGATGCTATGTGAGTCTTCTTACAGCACTGTGTTTTTGAGAAAATTGGACAGTCACATAAACAAGCAGTCTATGTCTAAGATCTGAACTGCAGAGAAATCCTTGAGGACGAACATGATGTGAAGGCTTTAAGGACCTGTTGTGCCCAAAATGACAGCATTTGTGACAGACCTACATGCGACAATCGAGACAAGCCATCCTCCAGGCTGAGGGTTGCCAGTTTTGAGTAAAGCGGGTTGAATGATTCGTTGAATGTAAGTTGAATGTTGAACATTGTTGAACTATCGTAAAGATATTGAAAGATGGGTTTGGTGTAGCGGAGCACTGGTGAATTGATAGCTTTCACATTGAGACTGCAGATTCGCCGCAGAGCTCTCCAAGTGTCAACCGCAGGGTTGCTGTAAAGATATGTAAAAGATTGCAAAGGCATCATTTGGAAGAGCCCTTGCAGTTGCAAACCTTCTCTGGATATCTCTGGACCTCTACATTTCTTCGAATGTTGGGCCCATTGTGGCAGGTTCGAGCTTTCAACCGTGGCTCCGTATCGGTGGTGCCAGCCGGCCTTCCCAATGCCTTGCGTTGTGACTGATGTTGAAATGTGAGTTCCCTGCAGAGCTGATTTGAGAATTCAAACTAGCCCTGTGTTGTTGCATCAAGCTGTGTCGTTGTTTCTTGTGGTCATGTTTCATCCAATTATCAGCAATGGCAATGGCCAATTTGAGCAAGTCCCCTTACTGAAGGGCTGTGAAAACTGAAGCTTCCTCCAAGGTTTGTGCTGCGGTCTTTGCCCTTCCCAGCATGTACGACTATGACTTCATGCGACTTGTCATTACTCAGCTGAGAAGTTCCCTCCGATCTGTATTCTGATTTTATGACATTGAAATGGTGAGATTGGCGAGATCTCCCAGTGCTTCACGTTGCTGGTTGTTTTGCCACGTTTTGCCATGTTTTGCCATGTTTTGCCATGTTTTGCCATGTTTTGCAATGTTTTGCCATGTTTTGCCATGTTTTGCCATGTTTTGCCATGTTTTGCCATGTTTTGCAATGTTTTGCCATGTTTTGCCATGTTTTGCCTGCTTGAAGCCTTGCCACATCTCACATCTTGTACAGCATCTTGTCACTCCGTTTCAGCGGATTTCAGGGCGATGATCGAATGGAACGCAGCGAGTCCAGAGTGCGGGACCCCAGGACGACAAAAACAAAGCACGCCCTTTCTACTCGTACCCAGTGTACAAGACTGTAGAAGTTGTTTTGAGAAGGTGAAGTAAGTTGACATTGTTTTTACATTTACAGAGCTGGTCTATGTACTTTCCATTGCCTAAATCAGCAGCAATCAGCTTCAGCATGCTTCAGCAATCCATGAGATCAAAATGCCGAAAGCCGCAGCAGGCCCATGCCAAATCTCTCCCAGCCTATCTATGGTGCACCCATTGTATCGCGTGAGACTCGCAACGAGGCGCTATCAATGTTGATCCAGCACTGCCTGTGGCAGAGTAGAGAGGGCTTCGGCTGATAACTGATATAACATGGTATAACTATCGTTGCCTGTGGTTTTGGTGCACAAAGTACAATCATAAAGTGTTGAAATCGTCCACAGCCTTCGTGCTGTATGCTTCAGGCATCAAGGTCTTGGGCTTCTCGGGATTGGTAAAGTCTGATCTGATTTCACGATAGGTCGTCACCTTCCTCTTTGACATCATGGGAGTGTTCTCCTCAAAAATGCATATTGCAGCCTCTGCAGCTTGCATTTGCCATGTTCAACTATGTTGAACATTCAATTTGCATCCCGGCAGTGCAAGCATGACATCTCGGATTGACATTCAGCGTGCTTTCTCTGGGGCAACTTTTTAACCCTAAGATCCCCCAGGAGGTTTGCTCAGCACATAGGCGTTATAACGGTCCTCCCGACCTGCCAAAGCTGTCGGAGCAGTTCCTGTCACTGGTTGTGTCAAACAATTGCGAATTATTTAAATTGGTTGTACTGTTTTCGTACGGTTTGTATTTGACAAATCTTGACAAATTGTTGAAGTGACACATCTTGAAATCTGAGGTGCTGATGGATATCATTTTTGCCCTCGAGCCTGACTCCCTGGGTGCAGACGCGCGTCGGCTTCAGGAGAGCGCAGGGACTACAATAGAAAGCTTTCTTTGACACTGGGTGAAGCAACAGCCTCATTCTTGTTTGCTACGTCAGTTGTGTCAGTTATGTCTACATGTCCTGATTTTCCTGTTTTTTGAAGCAAACTTTGGGAGAGGGTCCGCAGCCTTTGACTTGCTATGCTCAAGAGCCAGGAGCAGTACTGGCAGGACTCCACCTCCAACCTGTCTACCCCACTTCACATGGAGGCGCATTGCCTCGACGTGGGTACCTATATGCCTCATTATGCCTCTATGATCTCTATACAGCAGCATGTTTTTGTCGTATTTTGTCCTTCACAAATACACCCCGCTCATGGATACAGTACCCATCGCGTGTCAAACTTTGCACTTGAAAGAGCTGGGCATTGATTCGGTCATGAACATTTTCATGGCATTTCATGTCTTCGGATTGTTGCCCAGGTGGTCGCTGGGGCACTTGCACACTTGGCCAGAAGCTAAGTGAATGGGACTTGGCTCTGCAAGAATTTGCCCAAAATGATCGGCAACTAGCTAGTTCAGGCCTACGTATTTGCATTCTTTGGCCCAGTGCAGCATTTCAAATTTTAGTTGATCCAAAGAAGTTGTCGATCATTCCGAGGTGCTATAAACATCTATAAACTATCAACTATACATGAAGCATCATGAAGCTCATTGAAGCTCACAAGAACTTTGAGCCGTTTTCAGCCTGCATGTCTGCTGTCAGTCCGCAAATCTCGCTCCCATTGGCGAGCCCGAGCTCTTCGTCTATTTGGGAACTTTGACTTCAGGCTAAATTTGACTTCATGGATTGCTTGGATGAGGGATATTCATGGATATTCAACACTGATGTTGTCGGTGACTTCTGAGAAAGATGGGAAAATGATGGAACATGTGATGCAAGATGAAAATTGGGTGAGAGGAGTAGAGAGGAGGTCAACTACCACTTGCAGTTAGCAATTTATTTCACTGTAATTCACCATATACATACGATAGTCGAAGGATGTGGAAGGTATGACTTGTTCATGACGATGAACTTGGATAGCAATGACGCTCAAGAGTGATGGTACGCCACGAGTCGGCAGGACTCGTCGAGCGTGTGCGAGGCTCCAGAGGAGACATCAGGCGCGGATTTTTTTCGCTTGGAAGTACCAAGAGACGACAAATTGACACAAGTTGACATGTCAGTTGACTACAAGAGATATTTCCAGAGAATTTCCAGACAGCGCTCTGAAAGTTAGCAGTCTGGCGTCCGCTTTTGGAGCCAACAAAATGTTCAGGGAACCATCAAATTTCACAAACATTTGATATACTACCGACATAGAAGTCATAACGTACAACTACGGCTTTTGGTTTGCCGGGGAAACGACAGGCTAGTGGCCAGACAACAGATGAAACTTTTGCAGCTTCTAATTGAAAGTGTAACCTTCTCATTCAAAACAGCATTGATTGCCTCATCGCCTCATTTCTCTCAGGAAAGCTGGCAACGCTCCTCAAGTTGCCTCCTCAGCAACGACAGCTGTAAACAGTTTTGATTCTTTTGCATGAGGCTTAGAATATGTTTAAACTTTTTGATATGTGTATATATATATACATATTAATATATATATATATACATATATATATACATACTAATATATATATACATACTAATATATATATACATACTAATATATATATATATATTGATGTATATATAATATTCTAAGACGGCGTGTGAGATCCTCACCTCACGGTGGGCTTCGTTGTGAAGTGTTGTGAAGCCAAGAAACAGAACAACCAAAAATGATGGTGGTCACTTGATGTCACTTGGAACCTTCATCCGTCTCGCTTCCCCTGTGAAATGCTCCAAGGATCTGGTGAAGACTCTCTCCTTTTTGCTGGCAAGCATGAGGTCATGCTGGATGTGTATTGATCATGGTCATGCGAAATCCCAGCGCTTGTAATGCCAGAATTTAGAAAAGCTCCTATCCAAACATTGCCAAACACGCTTCCAACACCACAAGTCCTATCCTAGGAATGCCTGCTTCACACCAGCCATTCCCCCATTCTAAGCAAGAGAAGTCTACCTGCGTTCAGCCACATCTGCTCTCTAGGCCGATCGATAGGCCTCGTGAAGACGGGGATATCAGAGTCAACGTCTCGGAGCATGTGCAGGTCGGAGCCGTTCCGGTGCTTTCCGAAGTCATGTTGGTTATATTTGAGCCATGGGCCAATGTGGAACCAGTGCAGATCGCTGAAAGACCCAGCCATGCCCTGCAAGTCTCAATCTGTTCCAGGCGCGCCTGAGCGCAGAGATTATCCGCACAGCAGTGGCATTGGGCGATGTCGGGGCCCGAGGCATCACTGGAAAGAAATGTCGGTACTGTGTGCATGATGGTGTCATAAAGGTGCATAGAGATTCATAAAGGTACCTTCAGGTGTCCTTGCGGTCCATCCTTTACTTTGAACGCTTCGCTAGACTTTTCTGCTGGATCCTGCAAAGCTTGTGATGGATCAAAGTTAGCAATCTCGGAGACCTTTCGAGCTCTTCTATTCCTTCTTTTGATGTCAGTACGAAGCCTCGAAAGCCTTACAGCTTTCAGGAAGTCCTTGGTAGTCAATGCAGTTGATAGCTGATGTGATATCAATTGATACAATTCTCTGCTGCTTTTCATGTCCAAGGTCATGGCAGCCATTGCAGATCCTGGTGGCCCACCCACAGCTATCAAACAAGCCGCGGAAGCCCAGGTGGGTTTGGATCAGTAAACTAAACTGACAGAAATCAAAATCAAAGGACTCTTGGGATTGGGCCAACTGCTGGCTCTTTTTGAAAAATTCCACATTAGTTGTTTTTGTCAACAAGTCACTGGTCACAAGAATTGTGGTAAGTATGGAGTCTCTATGTCTTTGCTAGGGGCTGTGAGCGAATGTTCACAGAACTCAAGGCCATGCAAGGCCGAGCAATTCATTCCAGAAACATACTTACAAATATATATATATATATTATATTATATAATATTATATATATAATATATGTACACACACACTATTTACATCTATTTGTCACTATTTCACGGTGCACATCGGCTTAATTTCACAGCAGTAATTCGCTGAAATTCAGACTGCATTGTTGGACATGGCTCTTCACTGTTTGTGAAGACTCAGGAAATGCCAAAGGGGCAATTCATGAACCATGTAGGCGTGGCGCTCGTGGCTGTGGACATGGCATTGGGACATTTCAGCAGTTGTATAGATTCTGAAACCATCTGAAACCTTTGAATACCTTCTTGTGTCTTGGATCTTTCAGATGGCGACCTGGTGGTCACCATCATCAAAAAGAAACTCATCGACATCATCGTGGACGGTGTTGGGGCCTCTGTTTGGATGAGCCTTGCACATGATGCTGCTGAGGGCTGGGATGAACTGCAGGCATGTCGTAATTACATGTAATTACATGTAATTACATGTAATTACAACGTAAACCACAAGAAA